TGCTTAAACTAAGACATGTCTATCTTTTATACCAATGAAACATATTATACATACTAAACCAATATCAGCCTCCTAATTTTATATGCAACAGCCTAATTAGCATTTCTCTGCCGCCCCCTGCCGAACACACAGAGTATTGTCTCAAATTCAATACAAAACCTGTAAGTTTTTTTCCCCCCGTCCATTTCTAACTATTATAAACTTCTAATAATGTATAGAAATATTTGTGGTTTATGAAATATTCATATAAATCAGAATCAGATCAAGGAACCAACTGGTCAGTGCACACTAAATGTCAAACAAAACAAAAACAATTGTCCTTTCCAGTCTATTCTTCTTCTACTTCTTCATCCGGGCAGCAATAATATTCCACAAAACAAATCTGACCATCATCATTCCTCACAAGATACTGTAGAGAGAGGAAGCCTCGACTGTCAGTTCTCACTGAGACTTTACAGGACAGAGCCAGAGCCTTTGTAGAGGGTTTCAACAGGGACATCTTATACCTTTGAGAATAAACAAGAGAAAATAAATCTCAGTGACTCTTTACTGTTCTTTTACCACTTACAAGTGAATGCCTCAGAACAATAAGCAGTTCATCAGGCTGTTGTTAGAAGTCTGAATTTACATATACAGAGCTATGAATGATGGGTAATGCAGTCTAAAACGTAAGTTCCTCCTACCTGTTGGTCTGGATTTTAGTACACTGGAAGAGTTCCATCATGTCTGAGTCTTTGGGATAATCATAATGAGCGTTTCCAGAATTCCCGAATGTGGATAATCTAGGGTGCAAAGGAACTAAATGAAATGTTTTGCCATTAAATTTGACTTGACAATACCACAATTTCTTTTTCACTGTCAGCAATAGGCCAAATTAATAATCACATAAATGTAGTTGAAAATATATATCTATTAGTTATAACTCCTTGATTCAATTACATATACTACTGTTCAAAATTTGGCGTCAGTAACATTTTTCTTGTTATAGTAATACTATAATTCAGCAAGGATGCATCAAACCAATCAAAAGTGACAGTAAAGACATGCTGTTCTTATTTTAGTTTTTATTCATCAAAGAATCCTGAAAAAAAGTACTGAGCAGCACAACTGTTTTCAACATTGATAATAATAATAAGAAATGTTTCTTGAGCAGATCAAATCGGCACATTAGAATGATTTCTGAAGGATCATGTGACACTGAAGACTAGAGTAATGAGTTTATGACTGCTGGAAATTCAGCATTACATCTGAGTAATAAATTAAATTTAAAATAACATTAACATTAAAATAGAAAACCGTTATTTGAAATTGTAATCATTTTTCACAATATCAATGTTTTTACTGTATTTTTGGTCAAATAAATGCGGTCTTGGAGAACATAGGAGACTTCTTTAAAAAACATTAGATAACCGACCCCAAACCTTTGAACTGTAGTGCAGGCAAACTGAAGGACAAACATGCTCATCTGTTGTGTGCACTGTTACTGTACCTGAAGTAAGGATGGCTTGGTGACATAGTAATCTGCAGAACTTCACTGGTCATGTCAAGCTCAGAGAAAGCCTCTTTAAGACTGTCTGACTGCAGAATCACCTTGTTGGTTACATTTGTGCTGCAAAAGTCAAAGTCTATGGGCTCTTCCGGTTCCTGTGTATTAATCTTGCATACGGTGACCACACCACCTTCTTCCAGGAACAAGGTCAGTGGATATCCATAGCCATTGTAGCACATTCTCAAGGCGGTGCACACACCTTAAGGGTAAAATAAAAGACAGGAATTTGTTTTTGTTTTTAATTCATTTTCCAAAAAAAAATGACTGGATCATCATTGTGATACACACCTGGGACTGTGCTTCCCCCAAAGATAGTAAGGCAGTCCAGAAGAACGGTCAAGTTAACCTGAAATCCAACTGTATCTTCTTTGATTATGTATTCTTGAAAGATGTCAGCCTGAGGAATCAGACACACAAATTGATTAACCCAACTTCTGTCAACCGAACCTGTAAGACTGTCCTCCAACACTAACCTGAATGAATGCATTGGCTTGAAGGCATTTGGAGTCCTCAACAGTGACTTTTAACCCATTCTGCGTTGCACTGAAGATGGCATGGTCCCTGAAAGAGATGGCTTTCAGGATGTTGGACAGATTCCTTGCGTTATCCAAACTGGCTATCAGAATGTACTGGTCAATGTCTGCTTGGGACTGAGTGGACAGAGGCATGGTTCTGCGTTGTCAGCATCTGAAATAACATTTACACCTATAAATCCAACAGTCTCATATTTGATGCATACATTTCAATAGCCTCTAAATGGTCAACATAATCAAAATTCTGCAGTAAAAAAACTTGCTGTACAGGTGCTATCTTTTGTCTGATTTATCTTTCATACCTTTTAAATATTTAAGAGGTCTTTTAGTATAATAGCAAAAAAAATAAAAATAAATACAATAATAATAATAATAAAAAATAAAACATCAAATAACAAAATAAAAATAAATTAATAAATAAAAGTAAATGTAAGAAAACTTTTATATTGTAATATTTCAAGATTAATATTTACTCTTTTTTTTAAGGAAAACTATCAAATGAATACATCACGCTTCTGAGGAACATTTATTTGTTAAGCTCTCAATCATCATTATATGATATCATTCATTATATTGCACTGCATTATATGTTGCATCCCCACTATAAAAACTACAGAGCTTTGATAATAATTCTTAACTTCTAAATATGATCTTACTAAGACAAATTATTGGGAGATATCTCATAAATTAATACATTTCAATGCATTTAAACTATTATTAAATAGTAGCCTGCTATATTGATTATATCAGAATTTCATCTTGGCCATATAAAACAACTGTTCCATTTAAAAAGATATTATTCTGATTATTACTTCATGTCAGGCTCGACAGGTCAAAGACAACTACTGCGTTGCTAACAAGCTGCAACTAGCTGTTTGCAAATGATCATTTATAATGACAGTAAGTTGAACCGGTTAACTTACCCACAGAGATGGTCAAACTCTCAATCAGGTGGTTAAAAGCAAACATTAAACATAAACAGCATATGTTTTGTATACGTTAAACCTAACAAGTATGAATATGAAATATAAAAATGTACATATGTTTTCGTGTTTGGCGCCCTTAAGTGGGCCTGCTTCTTCTTCTTCTTCTTCTAATAACGTTTTATGGCGGATGGCAAACCAACTTCTGGTGCATTTACCGCCACCAACTCCACCAACTTGTGGAGCACTAATAAATACATATTTATATTTATCTATATTTTAGCTCTTTCAAGAGGCTTGACAAATTAAATGATTCAACACCCATGTTTCTTACTTCCTTAAGTGGGCCTGCTTACTCTTCTTCTGGTATTTTTAACAGAGTTTAGTATCTCATCCGGTCCCTCGCACGCACCGCTGTGGTCAGATGCGGATCTGCAGAGGGAGTTCATATACGGGCCTTTAGAATATAGGAGGGGTATATGGTATGAAAAGTTAGGCATATATACAGTTTTTACACCAATCTCTCATAATTAAAATTATAAATAGCTAATTACATTTTTAACACATATAATCATGCTTTATTTCATTTTCAAAAATGTAAGCTGTCAAAAATAAATATTTACAATGCGCTTGGACACCCCTCTCTCTCATCATGAGATGGACCGGCCGTCACCTAGCAGCCGAGACAGTTAGAGGCGGTCAGTCAGTCCAGCAGAAGTGCCACATAATCAAACGAAAGTCAGGTAGGTTTGAAGCAGTCACTGGTCTGTTTTACTTTATTTAAATGTCTAATTCGGTGTAATCATTTCAGGGGATAATTATGAGGAATGTAATTTTATTTTCAACAATGTTTACCAAGCTTCTGAAGTTCCCAGCGGGTCTGTTTTTGTTTATCTATCTCAATAGCAACCAGACCTTGCCAGCAACAAAGCGATATTTGTGAGCTGTAGCATTTCCCTCCTCATCTATTTAACGTTATTTAAACAAAGTTTACGTGGTTTATGTAATGTAACGGAAACGGAGTGGTAGTTACATGTAGTTCTAATTAACCAGCTAACTAGCTAATCGGTAAGCTGGTTTATTGTGATCTGGTGACTATATATATTTTGTATTTGTTTTTCGCCACTACAGGGGCTGACAGTTTGAACGAAATGAAATGATGCACGTGTGTTTTCTTTTAAAATACATGTTTATGTATTTCTGTGATATTTTTTTTTAAAGCTATTATCGAATTTCAAAGGCAGGTTTAGGTCCTCTGGTCATGGCTAAAGACCCGTTGGCAGAGGCTGGTCTTCATTTTGATGAACTCCATAAACTGCGAGTGCTCGAGCCTGATGTGAGCCAGAAAACCACTGAGCTCAAAGAGGAATGTGAGGAATTTGTTGACAGTGAGTTTTTCATTTTGTTCTTTATCTTATTGTGAAGTTTACCCCTCATGCAGATTGAACTGCATTCTTTGCTTCATTCACAGTACAGATCAATAATTTCTTGGATATTTTTTTTCTTCCCAAAAACAGAGATTGGTCAGTTTCAGAAAATTGTAGGTGGCCTTATTGAACTTGTGGATGAGCTAGCAAAGGAAGCCGAAAATGAAAAAATGAAGGTATGTTCTTGCATTTTAAATGAATAGTGGGGCATATGTGTGTTATGTTCATTCATATTACTTCAGTTATTATTCTTCAGGCTATAGGAGCAAGAAATTTGCTGAAATCAGTTGAAAAGCAACGGGAGGCTCAGCAGCAACAGCTTCAGGCTCTGATTGCAGAAAAAAAAATGCAGTTGGAAAGGTAACCAGTCTTATTAGGCCTGTAATCAGACTGCAAATATTGTGCTCTTAAAGGAAAAGTTGATCCAAAAAATGAAAATTTGTTGACAATGTACTAATCCACAGGCCATCCAAGATCTAGATGAGTTTTTCTTCATCAGAAGAACAGATTTTGGAGACATTTGGCATTACATAATTTGCTCACCAAAGGATCCTCTGCAGTGAATGGGTGCCGTCAGAATGAGTCCAAACAGCTGATAAAAACATTACAATAATCCACAAGTAATCCTTCGACATATTTGTTTAGAGACTGTTTTCACTTGTAAATGGTGCTTGATCTGTGTGTTTTTATGAGCTGTTTGGACTATTATTCTGACGGCACCCATTCACTGCAGAGCATCCATTGGTGAGCAAGTGATGTAATGTTACATTAATCCAAATCTGTTTTGATTAAAGGGGTCCTATTATGCTTTTTCACTTTTTCAACTTTAGTTAGTCTGTAATGTTGCTGTTTGAGAGACAAACTTAGAGTGGTTACAGTCATCCGGGTTTAAATCGCGTTCAAATTGATTTGGTTTTGATATTTACAATATTTAAATTTATATTTCAATATTTACACTGAAGCTCGCAGGCGGCTATGGTAAGGAGCGTGACATTTCCCGACCAGGCGCCGAGTGCTGCCAATCACAACACACACTGGCCCAGCGGGTTGCCAGTTGGCAGAAAACAGCGTATTTCATTTCATTCATCGTCAAGTGTGCTGGTTCCTGTTGGTGTCGTCAATCTGGCAACCTGCGTGTGCGTCAAGTCTGAGGAGGAGGGGCCGGGTGAAAAAACCCAGTGGGACTGTGGGCGGTGCTCGGGTGGTGACTGAAGGCGGTGACTGTGTAGTTCTGACGTCAACTTTTTACGGAAGTCACAACGGTTCGTGAAAAATAGCTAGAACTTTAAGCAGGCTGTGTGCGTTTTACTGTGGACTGACTGTTTTGAAACTTATATGTTAGTTACTTATCACCTCGACCTCAGTTATCATGAAAAAAGCCAGGAAATTTCAGTTTTGACAATATGGGACCTTTAACTACATCTCAGATGGCCTGAGTGTGAGTAAATTTACTGCAAATTTGATTTTTCGAAGTAGTTCTTTAATTCTTGACTCTATTGTTTGTTTTGCAGGTATCGAATAGAATATGAAGCTCTTCAAAAAGTCGAAGCAGAGCAGAATGAATTCATTGATCAGTTTATACTGCAGAAATAAGAGTACGGTGTTTCCTCTTTCTGTTGGACAGGAAAAGTGATGCTATGCATCTTGATTTACAGTGACTTCCTAATAACTGCAGGGTCCCTAACTAGGTTAACTGAATTGACCAGTTAATAGGTGACAACAGATGTCTGTTTCAGCCTCAACCTCTGACTCTATTGTGTTAATTTTGAGTGCTTTTGCATGGCCAGTTCGAGGAGGCACATACTCGTAATCTTTCCAACCACAGATCATAATCTCAGATGAATACTATTTATATACAACAAAAGTTATTTATACTATTTATATGTTAATTAGTTTGTAAATCAGATCTTTTTTTACAGCAGGAAAATACAGTATTTGCATGTTACTGTAAATAATTCCATCATGAGACAACATCAGGTAAAATGTTTATTTTCTGTATTTGTATTTGAACTGCTGTTTGTGACTTGAACTCATCCGGTTTTATTTCCTCATACGCTCATGGGACCACAACCAAAATATTTTCCGGAAGTTATGGAAAACTAGTTAAAGCATAATTCATTTATTGTTTGTTTACATTTACTGTTTAGATCATCAAGTGTGTAATCTCAATATTCGACAAACTTCATACAGATTTGAAGAACATTTGAATAAAAATATATTTTTCATTTACATGTGTTGTCATCAGTAAACAATTACTATGAGATTAAAAATTACTCAAACTTGAAATAGAGTAAACGCTACATACAATTATCAAATATCCTGGCACATATTAAAATATTTAATCACATTTAACCACATGTAATTACTAGCAATTACTAGAGTAGTCAACATTTGAAGTGGATCAAAAAGGTTAATCAAACTTGGCCTAAGACAAGAACACTTTTAGGTTTTAAGACAACTTTGATGAAAGGTTTTGATCCAGTTCAAATATTGACTAGTGTATAATGAATACATAGAAAGGATGAACTGTATCTATCTTTGTTTCTTGGACTTTGAGGAAGCGTTTCCTTTCGAAGAGGTTGAGTTATATGTTGAGCTGAAGAGCATGGTGAACAGTATCATGACAGGGATGATAAGGTACGGAGCATAAATGGACACCAGGGTCAGACGTTCTTGAAGAGTTTGGGGTCCCGGATGTGGCGCCAGAGGAAAATTATTAAAAAGGACGTGACTTAAAATAGGGATTAAAGTGGTGGCCACATGAACAGAATAAATGATTGCTGGTGTCCTGATCCATTTGCATCCACCTATTAAATATACAAATACATCAATTAGCAGGAATAATGTGACCATAGTAACTGGTATCCACTGACACAAGAGATTGACCACTAGATGTCACTGTTGTGCCATTTAAAACGTCTGATTTTACAAATCATTAACACGCTTTATCGAGTTTTAGTCGAACCCAACTGACCCTTCATGAAGGCGTATGCTGCAATTGGGAAAAAGGGCAGCTGAACGAGAGCCTCGCAGAATACAAAAGATTTGAACCACACAGGCGGGTCCATCATCATCGGGTCCTTGAATTCAGCAGCATACCAGTACAATAGGTTTTTCAGCTGTAAAGCAAGTACTCGTATTGATTTACCATTATATGTAACCTAGATATTATATGGTTGCATTAGTGAGTGTGCAGCACAAGGTGCAAACTTACCTTGGAAGGATACAGATGTTCAGGAAGCAAAGGCTGAAGATCAATCATGAGAGTAATTGGAATGTGGGACAAAAAGTAAAAGAAAAATATAATTTCTAAAGCGCGAAGAAACATTTTGGTAAGTGTTTTCGGTAAGTTCCTCCTCCGTCAGAATTCCAGCAGTAGTAGACGATGTCAGTGGTTAGTGTAGAGTAGCGTGTTACTCCTCTGTTTCTGATTGGTCCTTCAACTCGGTCATATCTAATCTTTGTCATTCCATTGGTCCATCGGCTCGGTTGATTCCTGATTGCACATTGGCTCATGGAGCGTAACCACAAGCCTTACTAAAACTACCATAGCAACTAAAATTGTTTTAAAATAGATGCTGCAGTTATATTTAAATGGATAACTAGGCATTAGCCAACAGTGTCATTAAAATAAAATGAAATAAAACAAACAAATAAATAAATAAATAAATGAAAGACACTTACACTTAAACATTATATCCCACATTAAATGATGGATTTGCAGTGACAATAGTGAAAAACACCTTCAATCAAACAATGACTGTTAAATTATGTAAACATGATTACACGTTGATTAATAAAATGTATTTGTATTATTACATATATTATTATTGTAACAATACTAAAAATAATACTTGTTTTTATAACATAATTATGAAAACTGATATCAAACTATTTTATTGTTAAATTATTTGGTGTAAATAAAAAAGCATGTTAATCACAACAAACACTGACTTTTTTTAGATGATGTTATTTTCAAAATAATCCTTGGAAACATGTCAGAAATACTGTCAGTTGGTCATTAGAGTTGTGTAATGTCTTCCTGCTAACAAATGAAGCATTTGTAAAATTAAATCCTTAAATAAAAACATTGGTCAAAAAGTATGCCTGCACACAGTTAGGTGTTACATGAGAACAAAGATAAAACTATTGCTACAGAATTCTCATAGAAATTTAAAAACAACTAGTTATATATTTTTTTAATTCACTTTTCCTCTGCATTCATGATCCTTTGGTTGTCAACGTCCACATAATCCTGCAACGTATTAGTAATGTTTTATCACTTATCTATAGGACAAAGGTAAAGCTTAAAAAGTAGATCAAGGACGAGTATGACTCACCCCATCACTCTCCACCACACTCTCCAGGATCTTGACAATGTCTGTAAATGAAGGTCTATTTGTGTATGGATCCATCCAGCAGTCTTGCATGATCTGTTCTCTACATTTTAAAAAAGAAATTAACTATTGAAAACAAAAAAGCACCATATTTAAAATACTGGCAGAGCAATAACAAAAATAAAGGTATTTTTTAATTAAATTTGTAGTATATATTTTATATATTTCTTATTTTGTTTATATATATATATATATATATATATATAATTTGAGAAAACAAAACAGTTAAATTGTCACTAACATTTCCGGACGGCAGGTGTTGGGCACAGTGTTCTTGCGTCCAGCACAGATACTATACACCACTTCCTCAGATGTGTTCAGACTTGGATATGGCAAGGTACCTGTGAAATATAAAATTCAATATTTGTTATTTATTCTTCAAAAATATTTAACAAGTCAACCAAACATCTCAGGATAATTCTCACCGAATGTCTGCATTTCCCACAGCACAGTACCAAACGCCCAGACGTCTCCCTTAAAGCTGTAGTAGTTGTTCCTGAAGTACTCTGGAGGATACCAGCGCAGCGGCACACGCTCCTATGACATCACATTCATATCAGTGAGATGAGCAATGAGGACGTGGGACGAACAGGTGCGATTAGTTCACCTTGTGTTGTTTTTTCCTGCTGCTGCGTCTGCTCCTCATACGGGTCAAGTCTCTGGCCAGGCCAAACTCTGTTACCTTCACCTCCCATGGGAATCGGCTCACCAGAATGTTCCTTAAGGCAAGGTCACAGTGCACCACCTGAATGATACAGAAAACGTTCAAATTCATTCTTTTCATTTACCATTCATGTTTATAGTGTAAATATGACTCTCTGTTTGTTTAACAGAACAGCCGTTTTATGTTTGTGGCAGATGGTGATACCATTTTGGAGCGTAAGTGCTCCATGGCCAGGGCGATGTGGTAGGACGCGATGGTGAACTGGCTCTGCAGTTCAGGGTCGGCAATTAGCTCATCTTTGTTTTTCTGAACAAAACTGCGCAGGGTTCCGTAGCTCATGAACTCCATGATCAGCATATACGGCTCTGAGGAAACAAGACACTGTTTTGGTCACATGATGGAAACAACTATTTAGTGATATTTGTTGATGATGTCACAAATCGTGGCTTGTTGAAGAGAAAAATATTACTTTTGTAATTGATCAGGCTTACAATTTTCACTTGGAGGACGATAAAATGGACCTAATGGAAATGGACTTAAGCATTCCCTTGTTTTAGTAAATAGTGGTTACAAATAAAAAATTTGTCCCCTCGTTTTAGTAAATTGTGAGCATAAATTAAGAATTCGTTCCCTTGTTTTAGTAAATAGTGACCACAAATTAAGAATTCGTTCCCTCGTTTTAGTAAATTGTGGTCACAAATTATGAATTAATTCCCTCGTTTTAGTAAATAGTGGTTACAACTTAAGAACTTGTTTCCTTGTTTTAATAAACAATGGTTACAACTCAATTTGTTCCCTCGTTTTAGTAAATAGTAGTTACAACTTAAGAATTCATTCCCTCGTTTTAATAAATAGTGATTACAAATTAAGAATTTGTTTCCTCGTTTTAATAAATAGTGATTACAAATTAAGAATTCGTTTCCTCGTTTTAATAAATAGTGATTACAAATTAAGAATTTGTTTCCTCGTTTTAATAAATAGTGATTACAAATTAAGAATTCGTTTCCTCGTTTTAATAAATAGTGATTACAAATTAAGAATTCGTTTCCTCGTTTTAATAAATAGTGATTACAAATTAAGAATTTGTTTCCTCGTTTTAATAAATAGTGATTACAAATTAAGAATTTGTTTCCTCGTTTTAATAAATAGTGATTACAAATTACGAATTCGTTCCCTCGTTTTAATAAATAGTGATTACAAATTACGAATTCGTTCCCTCGTTTTAATAAATAGTGGTTACAAATTACGAATTCGTTCCCTCGTTTTAATTAAATTGAATGAGGATAAGATCGAGCTTATTATATTTGGGAATCGACTCCCTGAGAAAGAACTGGTTGAGAGTTATGGTCTATTGTCAAACAACAAGCATGGTTTTGCGAAGAACTTAGAGGTAATTTTTGATTCAAATATGCACTTTGATTGTCAAGTAAACAATGTTGTGAAAGCATCTTTTTTTTCAGTTGAGGAAGTTATCTAAATTGAAACCAATCCTTTCAACCAAGGATCTGGAAACTGTTATATATGCTTTCATTTCCACAAGATTGGATTATTGCAATGCTTTATATTTAGGTCTAAGTGATTCTCTGGTTACTCGTATTCAGTGTTCAAAATGCTGCAGTAATACTTTTAACTAATACCAGAAAATGGGATAATTTAACACCTGTGTTGATTTCTCTTCATTGGCTTCCTGTAAATTATAGAATCCAATACAAGGTGTTAATGTTGGTGTACTAAGCACTGCACAATCAGGCTCCTGAGTATATAAAGGACATGCTGTTTCCTTACTAATCTCAACGTCATCTGCACTCTTCTCAGAACTGTTCCATGGTCTCGTTTAAGGCGTAATGGAGATAGATTTATATTGGTGTCATGCTGTGTTGGTTTGTAAGTTGTATGTTATTTTTTGGAGTTTTAATGATTTATAAAGTGCTTTATAAACAAAAGTTGAGTTAATAAACAGTGGTTACAAATTAAGAATTTGTTTCCTCGTTTTAATAAATAGTGATTACAAATTAAGAATTTGTTTCCTCGTTTTAATAAATAGTGATTACAAATTAAGAATTTGTTTCCTCGTTTTAATAAATAGTGATTACAAATTAAGAATTTGTTTCCTCGTTTTAATAAAT